CCCAATGGTATGGTCTGGTAGGGGTGGGGGGGGGGCTGGCGCGTGCGGAGTGGGGTCGGGGCGGTTGTGCGGCCAGGCGTCACAGGGAGCTGGGTCGGGCCGGGACCTTACGCAAGCCCTACGCAAGCCATAAACCTTACAAGGTAGGGCGTGTTCCTGTTTCTATTGACCTTAACCTGTACGCAATCCTTAAAACCTTACACCCAACCTAAGCCCCGCCTAAATGCAGGCTCTAAGCTTGAAACAAACATAAACCGTCACCCTAACCAACCTACACCCCAAACCGTCCCTAAGCTCTTGTCGATTCGCTTATAACTTTTAACTTTAGACCCTAAACCCCAAGCTCGAAAGTAGCCTGAGCTGAGCCCTAAACCCCAAAACCCCACAACCACACCACAGGGGGAAGAGGGACCCCACACCCCACCCACAGGGGGAGGGGGGGGGTCCTGGACCATGTACCATGACCATATATATATATATGCATACACACACATACACACACATGTGCATGAGGTCGGGTCCCTCATTTTGTGAACCTTTCACTTTGTGATTAAAGGAGCCTGCATCGCTAGCACGAACAGAAAAGTCCGGCATCGCAACGTAGCCACCCTGAAGGGTTCCAGACCCCGAACCCGAAGCTTTCCACACCTTCAGCACGAGCCCTTCCAAATTTAACGTCCTCCAACATCGGTTGAAGGTTTAGGGTCTTAACCCTCATCCCCAATCCTGACAGGCAAAAAAAAATTCTGACTTGCTGCCTACCGGTCAACAGGGTTAAAGCGAGCGATGCAAGAGCCTACAAGTACCCTAAGCTCCACCTAGTCCTCTCAACCCTGAGCCTTGAACCTTAAATCCTAAAGCCTAAAAACCCTAAGCCCTGAACCCGGCGTCTTCCACTGCACCGGGCTTTTTCCGAGGCCATGGCGCTTTGTGGCCTGCCTCTCGCTTGTGAGAAGAACTTTCGGACTCCGTCGTAAACCTCAGAGCAGGGTTGCTTTTGGTGCAGGTCCATCCAATAAGCGACGGATGCGTGGTTAGAGGTCAGGGTTGGCGGATTCTCCTCCGTGTTTTTGTGTTTTTGCGTTTTTGATTTGTCGGTTTGTTGGTACCACAAATCCCTTCGTCCGGACAACCTGCCGAAGAAGGGCATTGGACTTTAGTTTTGGTGCAAAGCTGCAGCTCATATCTTTCACTGTATCCCTTGTGCTCTGTGTCTAGACTTGATCAGTCTGGAGGCCAACAAGGCTCCGAGCTTTAGTCCATGCATGGGCAGCGTGCCGATGAAGTGAACGACACCCGGAGCAAAATTCTTAGCCGTTCGTTCCTGCAATACCATCCTCGCGTCTGCCGGGCGAGTTCTCTTATTGGGTCAGCAAGGAGAAGGCACTGTGGCGTGAGGCTATAAGAACATCGTCCACTCATTGCGTTATCATGCCCAGATCCTTCCTTCGTTTGTTGGAATTACTCAGCCCACATTCTTCGTTGATCACTCTCAAGACACGTGTTCGATGTTCTGGGGCAATACGGTATGTGCTGCCACAAAAAAGCTGTGCATCAACGCAGCCGTGATGTTTGCCCTCACGACGGCCGAAAGATCTAGGCACGTTTCTCTGCATGATCAGACGCACATTCCACAGGCGGAAATGCAACTGGCTTATACGAGGCTGTCTTGCTTGATTGCACATTGCAGCCAAAGCTTGTTCGACGTTTGTAGAGCAAGTCGTGCTGCCATAAGTTATATGTGTCCCCCCCAGAAGTAGCATGCTACAGTGCAGGTTCGCAATGATCTTGTCAAGATTTGTAGTTTGCTGTACACCTGCCTGACCTGGTCGAGCGCGAGTGCTAAAATTGAAAACACATGCAACAGCATGCCAACGCGACATGGATGTTGACAGACTTTTTCGGAAAGCCTGCTGGAGACCTCGCTGCAGCAACAAGGTAGTCGCCGTCGTCGGCGCCGTCGTCGTCGTCGTAGTAGTTGTCGTAGTAGTAGTAGTAGTAGTAGTAGTAGTAGTAGTAGTAGTAGTAGTAGTACTAGTAGTAGTAGTAGGAGGAGTAGTAGTAGTAGTGAGTAGGAGTATTCGTAGGAGTAGTGGTGGTAGTAGCACTATCAGCAGGAGGAGGAGTACAGCAGCCGCCGCCGCCCGTCACCACAACTAAAACAACAATATCCATGATGAAAGTTGTGCAAAACCGTGAGTACTGTGTCGTGGGTCAAGCTAGGCCTTTAAGGTTGTGGTCGTAACGTGACAGGAGCAGCAACAAATAGCTGTAGACTTCTGTGCCCAGGAACGCGCAGCAGAACCATCTAGGTTGGGCGACACAGGACTCCAGGTTTTCAGGTTTTGAGGGTTGCGGGATGTTGCAGCATGTGGCTTTCAGGTTTCGCTTTGCTTCAAGCCGTCTGAGTCTGTGCTTCTCTGTTGGTTTGTGCGTACCACAACTTGTCTGTTCTGGTCACCTGTGATCCCCATCCTTTTGCTTCGCCCATGCGCAACACGTGCTACCAAACCGTTGAACTTGGCCCACCTCTCCTTGCGTGGTGTGTAGTGGGATGTTTCCCGCGATCGAGTATACACAGAAGGTTGTTGCTGTCGCCGTTCTTCTGGACAAGCATTTGTTCTGGACAAGCGGCCAAATGCTTGTCGTTTACTCCGACACGCAGCCCCGCAAGAACAATGTTCATTTTGGTTGGAGGCCCTGCGGGGAAGCCGTTGGTCATGTCGAGCTGCTTCTCAGTTGTAGGGGCATCCTGGAGCGCCAAAAGAATCTATCATGTGGCTGGCACGCTGGATCGATCCACTGCGTTGTAGGGCCCAGGGGACCTCATCAGTTTGTGAAAAGCAGGGGTTACACAAGGTAGCCATCGAGGGTGCTTGTGACCCAACAACCATCACATACTTGCTTAGCCTGACCACAATTGGTATATACTGTAGACTCAAACAAGCGATGAGGAAGGTGGAGGGTCAGCTCGCTCCTCTAGCTCGACCCCACCCCTGAAGTCTCTCATTAACCGCAAGCCACGGCTCAAGCTGGCTCTCGAGGCACCGCGACGTGGGTGCCCTTCTTTTTCCAGTGAAAAGCGACATGCTCCAGATCTTGGTCGGCCTATGCCTCGCAGCCTTTGCGCTGCCATCTGTCTGTGATGAAGCAGCGCTGAGCGCAGACGATCAGTGCAATGAGGGGCAAGACTGCGCTCTCAGTGCACTGCAGTCGAGAGCTCAGGTTCGTACCATGACGCCAACTTTGCCGTCTGCAAGTGAGCAGGCTGCACCTGACGGGATGTTTCCGCCAGCTCCAGGCAACGTCTATGCCGTGAACAAGACCGCCCTACCTTGGAAGGATGGTTCGCTGAACTCCCCCAGTGGCGCCCCCCTCTTCACCTTCTACATGTACCGCGCAGTGTCAGACGAAGTCTACCCGCCTTTGAACACCAACGTTGCCAGCTTGCCGGGCGTCCTGTGGTATCTCCATCATGAGGTCGTCATTCAAGCACCCCGCAAGTTCCAAATCTCGCGCATCCTGCGCTACAAGGTGCAGATGCGCGCCACCGCACCGCTTCTTCGGCTTGGAATGCACTTTGGTGTGCGGCTGGCCTACGACAAGGGGCAAGCCACGGGCCCATTTGTGTGTGGGCGCACGAACATCACCAACAAGGACGGGACCACAGAAGGTTACAAGCCAAAGTTCTGTGGTGATGCTGCTGCATTCGCGGATACGTATCTCGAAGATATCAAGCCTTACAAGAACGAGTACGAGTATGCCGCCTATGGATACAACGTCGGCTGCAACAATCTTGGTGATTATCCCTTCCCCATGGACCCGGTGTACTACCCGAACGCGATCTGGTATACCATGCCGGGCGCTTGTCCGAACAATCTCTATTACAACAAGGACAACTCCTGTCAGGCCAGCCAGCCAGGAGGCTACTGCCCAGGTGGGCAGTTCTTGAAGTTGGGGTCCCCTTCAGGGTCCTTTTGATGAGGGGGCCGCCGTCTTTTGGTTTCCATATAGAGCCCTCATAACCTATAGAAACCCTTATGGATCCCTTTGAATCGGAGCCCTAATTTAAAGAACTGACCAGGGGTGGAGCCGAACGGCAACGGCACGTGTACCTGGAACTACGAGGAAGCCGGGGAGATCAGTCTCGATGAGTTGGTGGGCATCAAGGACTATGACTCTTGGAAAAATGGCTACCGGGAGTATGATCCGGAAACCGACGAAGGTGTGAAATTCAGTTGGTGGAATGGAATTAACAGCACCTCTGCCAACGAGGAGCGTGTGAAGCAGGCTTCTGATCTTTTTGACAAGAAGTTCCCATCCATGCCGACGGTTGCCGAGCTGACCAACCCTCCGTGCGACTTTGACTTCGGCTACTTCTACAAGGAGTGGTACCGAAAGGACGGCTACAGCGGACCCTGCGGACCCCCCAATGCAAAATGCAAGGGTGGAATTGGCTGGATTCGCCACGACGGCCTCAAGCAGCATCCGAAGTGGTACGTTCCCCTCACCTCTTCGGCCAGCGATGATGACATCCAGCGCTTGTTGTACCAGCTAGGAAAGAATGAGTGCTTGCGTCCGTGTGAAAACGGTGAGACGCCGACCGCGTCTACACCCAGCACGAGAGCTTCCTGAGACCTTTCTTCTGGAGCATCGCCTGGAGAGTTTGACTTGTGAGAGTGGAGGACACCTAAAGAAACCTACAGCCTTCTTCAAGCAGCGAGGCATGACTTGGTGAAGAGGTTTATATCTACAGTAAGGATATCACTATTGAGATGAATGGGCAGTACTCGTAATCTTCTCATTGGTAGTAAGGAGACTGTTGGAAAGAGCTTCGTGTTTTTGTTTCCGAAAGCCAAGTCTCTTCCCGCAAATCGAAGGGATCCGGACACGATTCCTGGGGTGAGCACTAAGGCTTGGTATCGGGCTCGGAAATCAATCGTGAGTCGGAGTTCCTTCGACATGTCAATCGATCTTGCTTCGTAGTACCTCATCTGGCTGATCCCAGTGTGAGGAGTTTAAACATGCAGCCTCCAAATCGCTTTGTGTCTGACGATCAAAAAGGGCCGCCGACCGGCAGGGCCTGGATAGCTGCAATGTAGAGCTACGACTACTGCTGATAGTATTGCACAAGTGCAAGAGCTTCCTGCCACCATGGACCAGTTGCGGCTGCTAGTCCTGCTGCTGCTGCTGCTGCTGCAGCTGCTGCTGCTACTACCGGCACCACCACCGCGAAGTTCCACCACTCAGTACCACTCCTACGTACCGCATCACCATTAAGAAGCAGAGGCAGCAGCAGCAGCAACAGCCGCCACTGCGGCAGCAGCAGCAGCAGCGGCGGCAGCAGGAGTAGTGGTGGTGGTAGTGGTTTGGTCGTCGCAGCAGTCGTAGTAGTTGTAGACTTAGTAGTCGTAGTAGTGCCGTCAAAGTGGTGATAGGGTGGAGGGACCAGCCCTCGGAGGACTTCGGCCGTCGCGCGGCTTTCGGATACTTTGTCCTGTGGCTGCTAGGCCAGGTGGGGGGAGCGATTGCCTGTGCGACGGTTTTAGGGCTTGGGCGACTGGAGCTGTCCTACCCTACACCCTCAACCCTAAACCCTAAACCCTACCCTAAACCCTAAACCGTGAAGCTGGAAGCATTTTCGTTTGTTCACAGTTCGGAAGGCCATTCCCACTGACCCTCAATTGATTGCTTCTGTACTCAGCAGCCTGCACCAGCTGTCGAGCAGATGCGGCAAGGTTTTCCGGTACTGGGGACTTTTGAATCAGAAGCGTCATGGGCTCTGAGCTTGTTGGCAGATCTTTCGAGCTTTCTCTCCTAGAGGTGTCCTGGCATTGTCCACCGCATGTGGTTGCACTAGTACAGTCAGGTTCTTCTAGACAAGCCTATGTCGATTCAGGCAAGGGATGCCCCGGGAGTCGAAAGCCGCGTGTCAACGAGAGCACAGTCCGTAGGTGATGCCCTTAAGGGAACGACCGGTTTCTTTGTCTTTTTGTTCTAGGTACTGCCGCTGAGGGGAGGCACAGTCCGAGAGAGCGAGAGCGAGACAAATCTATCTGTTTGTCCATAGACAAAAAAGATAGATGGCTAGACAAGTTACAGTCCGACATGTTTGCACATAAAGACGGTCACGTGTTGATACACGTTGACTAACTTGTGCTTCTTTGGCTTAAGGGTTCGGGGTTAGACTCTACGAGCGTTCCTGTGCAGCGTTGAACCCCCAGTGAGAGTCCACATTCTACGCCTGTCCCAGTGTGCGTGCAAGAGCCTTTAACTCAACACACAACCCCCTCGGCCTCTAAAGCCTTCTCAAGCCCTGAACCGCAAGGATGGCTCCCTCAACTTCGGGGTTTGAGGATTCTTAGGCAAGAGCTCTATACAGCTCCGGAGCCCGCAAGCCCCCCTCAGCCATGAAATGCCGAAACTTGGCAGGTTTTGATCTGATCTTGCTTTACGTCAATGGGTGAGCTCATTTCATTGTGAGCAATTCTGATTCCGGTCCTCTTCCGAATATCTGATCCCATCCAGCAATATTTTTGGAAATCTTCAGTGGGGCCCGAAACTGATACTGCGGTCCTAAAAGCCTAAAACCCAAGCGCTGCATATCCGAGGGTTGAGGATCTAAACTTTGAGGGGTTAGGCCGAGAATCCCCAGCCCCACTCCAACCCCTAAATCGCGTGGCGGCCCATCATCCTCGCCTGGAGTGTCCGAGCTGCGAGAGCTAGATCCGAGACCTTAAGCTCTCACTGATTGAGGTCTAGGGTTTAGGATATATAGTGTTTATCCCGAACCCCCCAACCCCTCAAATCCCAGGCCCTAGAGCTCACGCAGGACGTACAAGGAACGCCCCTGAAATGCGCAGGACTCTTTGTTTCCCTCGCCCACGCCGTGCGCCAGAAGCGCGCCTGCCAGGCCTTCCACCGGAGGCGAGTCTAATGTAGCGCCTAAAAAATTACCAATACCATTGTGGGTTTTTTTTTTATTGTAGTTATATCTAATGTAGTGCTTAACTAATTACCAATACTACTGTGGGGGTTCCTTATTACTGTAGTTATAGTCACTTATAGTATAAAGGGCACAAATAATTACCAATACTACTGTGGGGGTTCCTTGTTACTGTAGTTATAGTCACTTATACTATAATGGGCCCACCAAACCCTATTCCAATTATCAACGCTTCTATATTAATAAAGACAACAGAGCCCTTCGAAGGAACCTCTCTGCGCTTCAATCCCAGAGACCCCCCAGAGTCCTGAAGTTGGGTTGAGGGTTTGGGTTTAGGGTTTAGGGTTTAGGGAAAATAAGGGGGTACCTTATTTTTGGGGGTCCATGACAATAAGTATCCTACTGTTTAGGGTGCTAAAGTCCGTGCTGAGAAGGGTTTAGGGTTTAGGGTATAAAGGATTTAGGGTTTAGGGTTCAGGCTTCGCCAGCGCAGCGTGGTGTCCGGCCCAGCTCTCGTAAAGGGGGTTGCCCTAAGCACTAGTCTCGTAAAGTCGGTTCTGAGGTCCAAAAAGTTCATGACGTGTTGCGGCGGAGCTGATCAATCAAGCGCCAGGAGCGTGAAAAACCTTTGGAAAAGGTGAAAACTTTTCCAGGCGAGCTAGAAACCCAAACCCTATCTAGACCCCGGCTGGTGTGCTCGCATCCCCTGTGTGTTGAACAGCCGAGTTTCCTGAGTGCTGGCGATGATGAGACCGTAGCACGGTGCAACACGGCTCGAGCTAGGACGGTAACCCCACATCGTACAACCTACAACCTCTCCTTATCTGAGCCTTGTATACGCGGCGCCAGGTAGCCAATCCCAGTCCAGGGGATGGGCGGACAGCCTTAGAGAGCTTGTGATGTCTCCTCGGCGCCCCTATGCGGCGAGGGCTGTGGACTTGCAAAGAGCAACTGTCCGTGCTGCAAGCGAGAACTCGACCTTGAAGCCTGAAGCTCGGCAGGATCCATTGTTTCCCATGTCCTTGCCCTTGCCTATCTCCTGTCCCCGGCGAGCCCGCTACGTTGCCTGCGCATCAGCCTCGGGGAGGTTGGCGGCACGACAAGCCACTTGGAGTCCTGCCTTGGGCAGGCGACTGCCCAACGCGGGTGGAGGAGACTGCTTGTGGTACGGCATTGCGAGAATCATGTCGACGCTCAGCAAACCCCGTTCTCATAGGCAAGTTTGTATTCCTACATGCAAGACAACTTTGCCGAGTATGAGGGTCTTTGGAAGGGAGCGGGTCGTCACGACCACGTGGGCAAAATGAACGCCATCCCGAGCTTCCAAAAATATCTTGATGGATTGGCGCAAGTTGGCACTTACACAGGCGCACTTAAAATACTGGCCTTCGTCAAGCTGGAGGACAGCGTATCTGGCTGCATCATGAGGATGGGCGCGTCTTTGAGTTTGACGAGATGGGCAAAGGGGATGCGCATGGCTTCTTCTTCTATAGCAGGGGACACTACAAGATCTATTATGACATCGGCGAGTTGGAATGGATCCGAGAGAAAAAGCATCAAGCTAAGGAGGGAGGTCAAAACGGTTCCCAACCTGCTCTCAGAAGCGGGGCGCGAGGTCTGTCGGAGTTCGCTAGCAGCGCCAGCAGCGTTGCCGGATCGAAACAAGGAGCCAGGAAAGCGAAGCGACCAACACCTCGAGCACAGGATGCTCGCGGAGGGGCCAGATGCCTTTCCGATTTCGCCAGCAGCTGCGAGGTGCAACCGAAGCGAGCGCTGACGGACTTTGCTTCTTCCAAGAAAGCTTCATCCTCGGGTGGCAAAAAGCGCAGATCTTCCATGGAGTATTGATGAGGCCGGCAGAGAGACCGGTAGTGATCATGCGGCTGTGGATCGTTGGTTGGCTCATCAAGGTGACCGTGCCGGGGAGCAATGCAAACCGCAAGCCACCTCCTTTCTAATGGCCGTGCAACATCTGCAATCGGATTATTGGAGGGGCCACCAGTAGACAACTGACATGGCAAAGGTGCAAGCATATGATTTGCATCCACCCGGACGTTGATGCCTCGGAGTTCACCACGATAGGGCAGATCCGGCAGCGGCCTCAAGTGGTGAAACTCAGCACATCGGTGGCGGCTAGGTGGCGATGCTCATGGTGTAGCACGGGCATACCACAAGCCGAAGCTGAGGTGTTCATTGGCAATTGGTCAGCACTTCTGTGGTCGCGCACCTCAACAAGTGTGAGAAGGCACCAAAAGGGGCAACCATGAAGCAGAACAAGCTCAATCTTTGGAAGCAGCAGGGCATCCAATGCACTGAGCGCCGCTTCAAACGCAGTATCAGATGACATGCAAACTGATGTCATCAAGCAACAGCTCCGTGATCAAGGACATCAACCAGTGGTGTTTGGGAGCGGCATGTTGCGGCACACAGCTAAATTCCATGTCACGTGCAAACGGTGCACTAGCTTTTGGTGGGACTTCGGGCGCGTGAAGCACAGTAAGGGGCGATGTCCAGGCAAAGGACGTCGACAGCAACTTCTTCGGCACCCTCAGCGTCAACAGCTGTGGAAAGGAGCCGCAAAACAGCTCCGAAAATGTCTCCGCAAGGCCTGGCAACTTACCAACGGGGAGGTGCAGCGGCTGGGGAGATGGCGGCGCAACCTCCTTGATGACGGCGACATCGAGTCACACCCAGGCCCGAGCTCGCAGCTTCAGCAAACGTTGAGATGGGCGTCGCTGAACGTTCAGGGATTTACCAACGCCTTTTTGGCGTTGGAGACGCTGGCTCCCGTGGAGGAGTTTGCACAAAACACGGTTAGATGCTTGGAAGGCCCAGCAGTACAGGACTAAGGCTGCTCAATGCGGATACGTGGCTTGGACGCGACTGGACACACATGCTGTTTCCAGGAGGGGAGTCGGATATGAACGCTGGGGGCTCATCACGTTGGTTGCGTCAGACGTTCAAGTCCGTGATATGCGTGAATGAAGGGAAAGGGGACGGCTAGAAAAGCTTGAGTGAAGCTCTCGGAACAAAGCGGGAGTTGAACATCGACGTGAATGCCGCGGAACAACTCCTTTGGTGTAGAATTCTTCCGACTGGACATGCGCTGGAGTTCGTCCCATGCACACCTGAGGTGCTCAGCACCAAGCCCTAAGCGCAGCACCAAAACTTCTGATGCAGGCACCCCTCGCTTGCCGAATTCGCGCTGAATTTGGAAGGCTTCCCGCCAAGCGCCACGAACGAGGAGCCTAGATTCAGTTTGCCGGAACCGCAGGATTGGTTACATAACGTATTGTAGGGCTGAGGGGTTGCAGGGATGAGAGTTTGGTTTCGGAGGTTCAGGGGCATGAAGTTCTCGGGGTTTGCGGTCCAAGCTTTTGCACGTTCGGGGTTTATGGTTTAGGCTTGCGTCAAATTTCAGGGACTTGGCTGTCGGGAGGCCCGAGGTCCAACTCAACATAGTGCTTCTGCAGAACTGGGATTTTTGGAACAGCTTCAACTTCGTGCCCAGGCCTCGAACTCAGACCCTGAACCTTAAGGCCCGACCAAGCCCCAAGCCCCAAAACCTAAACCTAAATGAGTTCTATTTGAGCCCTTCAATGCTTTCGGCCCTAAACCCTATGAGCCCTAAACCCTCAACACGCCAGGCTTGTCCCAGTTGTGAGTGCTGAAAACTCTCAACGCCACTGAAGTTTCAGACTTCAGGAGCAGATCCTCGACTTTGTGCGGCAGGGCTTTGGCCGAGCTCCCAGCATGTTATCTGCGCCCAAACGTGCGGTTTGGTGAGTTTAGTGTAAACCCTAAACCCTAAACCCGAAACCCTAAACCCATCTCCTTGGGTCTTGGGTTGTGCGACCGAGGCATCTACGATGTGCAGGTCTCTGTGTGCTACGACTACCGCAGCAGGTGCAATGCCAGACAACGCCTAGTATAGGGGCTTTAGTGGATTTTGAGGTCTGGTATACTTGAACTTTTTACCTGTATCCAGGGGCATGAGGGAATCCAGTGCACACTGGAGCTTTGGACTAACTTGGTCTGTAGGGCCTTTGAGTGAGCGAGCCTATGCGTCTAGAGAGCATTGGAAGCACATCAGACCATACTTAGAGGGGCCTCAAGACTTCAATACGATCACAACAAGGGCACTTACAAACCCAGTTGTAGCCTCCGTACTAGATCCGACCCGCGTTGTAGGTATCTTGGTCCATTTTCGAGGTTGCTGTATAGGTCCCACGGTCCCACCTCAAATCGCTCTTGTAGAACCCCTCAAGGAACTTTTTAAACGAATCTCTAAACCCAAACCCCTTATATCCGCCTGGCCCCCAAGGCGGCGCCGCGTTCAGGAGCTCCTCGACAAGGTCCTGGTGCGGCAGGATGCGCTGGCAGGCGGCCTGGCATGAAAACGGAAGACGCCGAGTTTAGGGATTCGTTTCAGGGTTTGGGGTTCCAGGCCAAGGGCAGCGACCTCCCGAACGTACGTTGCGAGGGCATCGCACATCTTGTGCACCCAAGCGGTATGTGTACAGTCCTACCTAGGCGAACACCGTGTCGCCTATACTCTGGTCCATTCGGCAGTGCTGCCCTACATAGTATCCACCCTAAATCCTGAGGTTGTCCGAACGCTAAATCCTAAATCTTAAGTATTTAAAGGCCTAATCCCGATTCCTAAACTCTAAAACGTTAGGACTTCGAGCCTAAGTCCTAAATGCTAAATCCTTATGCCGAAAAAATTTTGGACCCCAGACATTCCTAAATCTTAAGGCTTTAGTGCTTGCTGGTAGGAATAGGATTTATCGACTGGGGTTTGGCGACTAGTGTTTTGGAACGGGGTTTAGCTCTAAATTTTATATAAAGCTTTTTTATCGCGCTAAATCCTAAAGCTTTATTTAGTGTTTAGGAATAGGAGTTAGCGATGGGGGGGGGGTTTAGCGATTAGTATTTTGGAATAGGGTTTGGCCGTAGATCCTAAACGTCTAGGATTTAGCGGCTAAGATTTAGCGGTTGACTTTTGGAGAATCGTCAGCGGGTTTTTGAGTGATAAATTCTTTGAGTAAAAATGCGACTTTATTCGAGCCTATTGGAAACCCTTGGTATTATAGCCTTCTTAGACTTTGAGCCTGTTGGATCTTCCCTGTTGGTGCTGTTGTGATAACTGAACAGCCTGAGCCCCTGGTCACGTGCGAGGGCTGGTGGGTCCTATTTTTTGTGGCTAGTCTTGTGGTCTCGTCGTTCGCCTTCGCACGCGGCTGGTTGGTGGCTGAACAGCAGCTTTGTGGACATGAGTGCTGGGTTGTCTGGAAGCGGAGCCTGCTTGTGCGCGCGTGCAAGTCGAAGCCCTAAACCCTGAACCCTAAACCCAGCGATAATTGGGTTGGAACGTCGTCAGATGCTGGCAGACATCCAAAAGGCCCTCAAAAAAAGGAAAACCCAGTATCGCTACAGACCTTGCCTGGCTTGTCCGGGTGTGAGTGTCAAAAAACCCTGGACCCTAAACCCCAAGAGGTGCCTATGGCCCGGAGCTGGCTGGCAGTGCCTGCGGCATGCGAGGCCTCGGGTTGGCCGAGGAGGAGACTCTTGGCCTCCTTTGAAGCGGTTACGAAGAGGGTTTCCCTGTAGGGTTCCGTTTAAGGGGTTCCTCAAAGGGCTTCCTTGAAGGGTTCTTGAAAGGGGTTTCTGTAAAGAGTTCGTATGAGGATTCCTAGAAGATTGGAAGATGTGATGTGGGTAGCATCTGATGCTGCTGAGTTGGAGAGGGGATCTGGAGCTTGGTGGTGACCTTGTCGTTTGATTGAACCCCAATACCGTAAGAACTAAGTTGTCACGGTCTCACGGTTTCCAGTGGCTGACATTGGGGTTTAGGGTTTCCAACCTTCACCCTAAGTTTTCAACCCGGAGACAGCAACTCAGGGTGCAGACTCTTGGCCATAGCCCTCTTCAGACTCTTCGTCATCGTCTTCTTCGTAACTTAGAACAAAAAGCCAGAGTCCGAAGACCCCAGCCTCTATCCCTGCCGCGCAATTCCCCTTTAATTTCCATTGAAGCCGCCGCCGCCTTGAAGCCCCCAACGCCCAAAGTTTTTAACCCCTATCTCATGACCCTGCGCCTGGAACCGGCTTTCCCCAATCCAATCAAACCCCCCGAAACCGTGAGGAGCAATCATCACCCAAAGGCCCGGAAGCCCAAAGCCCACTTGCAGCCCACCTCACACCCTCGCTGAGGCGGCAAGAAGTGAGGTGCGGACGTGGGTCTGGTTTCAGATTTAAAGTTTAGAGTTGAATGTGTCAATTTGACTTGGGGTGCACGAGGCGCCAGATCTGAACGTTGCGCCACGACACCTCGAACCCTCAGTGCTAAGTTGTGAGTGCTGAGACTACTGGCAAGTACAGATTCCGGCTACATGCACCTTTTTTGGCTGGAGACACAGTAGTGTATGCATCCATCGAGCCCTGCATCATGAACCCGTGATGGTTTGAACCCTTCATTGGCGCTACACCTCAAAACCACCCCAGAGAAAAGTAACCCTTAAATCTTAAGCCCCAAACTGATTTCAAGCAGTGTTTGCAGGTCTTGGCTGGGATCCGGCGAGGACGCTTTGAAGAATGCTGGCTCGGTGTTCGTGGCTCGGCAAAGAAGCGTCCTCCAGCAGCTGTTTCCGCAAATGAGCGGAAATGTTCTTGGAGTAGCGAGCGGAGGATCCGAGACTGGAGTCGTGTGGGGGGTGTGCCTAGACAAGAGCTCCTATCAGCTCTAGGACGTTCCAACTCGAGCAATCGTATCCGGGTCCTGGGGGTTTTGGGGCTTATAGGCTTTTTGAGGATTATAGGGCTCGCAAGCATTCCATTGCCATGCTC